TGACATACAAATGGTGATAGAGAAATACCCTGTCATGTATGAGGAGTCTATGAATACTGTTTTGAGACAGGAAGTAATCCGCTTCAACAGGTACTTGTTGCTATGTAATTAACTATTCAGCTTACAAAATACTTAATTATGAATAACTCAAATGTCGATCACCATGTCTGTGAAGGACACACTCATTAAATCCTTTACAATTAATAATTAATCACACTCCCCTTCTGTCAGACTCTCACATGTGGTGCGGGTCAGCTTGGTAAACATCCGAAAAGCTTTGAAGGGCCAGATTGTTATGTCTGCTGAACTCGAGAACGTCTTTACCAGCATGCTGTTGGGCAAGGTGCCTGCTATGTGGGCAGCCAAGTCCTACCCGTCCCTCAAGCCAATGGGGAGCTACATGACCGATCTGTTGGCCAGGCTGCAGTTCCTACAAGTAAGAATTATGGTTGTTGGAGGTCACACAGACCTTGAATGAAGGGGAACACGTTTGAAATATGACTCGCAAGATGAATGAAGCACATACAAAGTAGTAATCTTTAGTGTATATATATGTAGCAAAAATGAACAAAGACGACATCAGACCAAACTAATTCATTGAGTCTTTGTGAGGCAACACTGAGAGTGAATGACATTGCTTGTTTCTAATATGCTTCTACACTATTAATGTGCTTTGATGTCTGTTTTGACAGGATTGGATAGATAACGGCCCACCTACAGTCTTCTGGCTCTCTGGCTTTTACTTCACCCAGTCATTCCTAACTGGAGTGTCTCAGAATTTTGCCAGGAAGTACACCATCCCTATAGACTACATTGGCTTTGAATATGAGGCATGAAATGATAGCTCTCTTCAGTGTTTTTGCTCACATTCAATCATAATAATTTAACAATTTGGTGATATTTTGGGTTGATATTCATGCTCTGAGTTGTGTTTCAGGTAACCAAAGAGGAGACCCACATGGATGAGAAGCCAGAGGACGGAGCCTATGTTAAGGGCCTTTTCATGGAGGGTGCACGCTGGGACAGGGAGAACATGGTTATTGGAGAGTCCCTCCCCAAGATCCTATTTGACTCTTTGCCCATCATCAAGCTTAAACCTGGCGAGATGGCCAAGTTTCAACATGAAAACATTTACGTTTGTCCTATTTACAAAACCAGCGCTCGCAGAGGGACCTTGTCCACCACAGGCCACTCCACCAACTATGTCCTGTCCATCGAGCTACCCTCTGACAAGCCACAGAAACACTGGATTAACCGCGGGGTGGCATGCCTCTGCCAGCTGGACGACTAAGAATAGAAACCTACTCGTAAACTATTAAACTATTGTGTACGCCAAAGAAATGCCTTTGTGTTTAAATGCAAAAGTCTTGAAAAAGACACTTTTTTTATTTCTATATTAAAACCAGATTTCTCATGAGAGATTTTCGCTTTCAGGTTTCAAATACTGTATATTATCTGTGTGACCATGGAATTCTATATAACTAAACCAGAATGAGACAGAAAAAAATCATATAATGTGCTCTGTCCTGATGCTACCACAAAGTCTGGCATCTATAACAATGTGACTTAGCATCTCTGGCAGGATGTACTGGGGTGAAGGTTATACTTGTAGCTGTAATAACCTGCACTACATGTTCAATCATTTGAGTTCATAAATTCACTCTTAGTTTCATTTTTCATGGAGTAAAGTCTAGAGGATACCCTAGCTTAGTCATTACACTCATGACTCATTTTTTTCTGATGTTTCAGGACAATCATCTGCCAAGGTTTTACACCAAACACTGTTCATAATAGTTCTGTGCTGCACTGTTTGTACTGATTCTAGTTAAAATACTGATGTATGTTTCTACTATGATGCACTTTATTCCACACGTTTATTTTCTTTATGGTTCTATTTTTTCACAATGGGTGGTTGGTTACTTTAAAGATTTATAACTTCATACTTAATAAAATCAACATAATGTCAACATAAGATGGATAAATGTCAGTATTTGCTTCGTTCCTATAAGAGCAGCTGCACCTCAGACCAATATCTGTCTATCTCTCACAGGTCTGCCAGCTGTGTGTTCTCAAGGCAAACACTAGATGGAAGCAAAGGCAAACCAGTATTCCACTGGGGTCTCACTATTGACAGGTGAAGAGCAAAAAGTGGTTGATGATACCAACAAATACTTTTTATTTTTTATATTCAACTGAGATATAGTCTGAAATCCATAGACTAACTTAACAACTAGACTTAACTAAACCTAACAGTTTAGAATAACTATGTACAAACTGACTAGTGATAATACTACAGTAAATGCCAAAAACCTACACAAATTAATATGATTTGGTGTATGTTTATGCAGTTGCCATAAAGTGCCAATATGGCTTATGGGAAATAAATGTCTTCATTTTGTCAAACTGTGATTACTATTGGAACATAAACGTTGCCAATTTTTCCAGACGATAGTGTCATTTGTTTGTGATATTTAAATTGAATCGTCAGAAGTATGGAAGGATGTCTCATAATGTCGAAGAAATTTCTGCTCACATTAAGGACTGAAAAAAAGTTGCCAAGCACCTGCCTCACCATCCCTGACTGAGGTTTGTTGAAGAGTATGAGTAATGTACTGTATAACAACAACTTATTGTCCTGACAAGCGGATTCATGACTCAGTTACTGAATTGCTAAAATGTTCTCTCCATACAGGCCATGCATTATAACACAGGATGACACAAATCACCACTGAGTCCAATTCAACAAAAACCTTTGTAGTAAAAGAAGGTGTTTACATTAAAATCATGGTGGTACAGTTTCTCATCCTCAGGCCTATAACTTTAGATCAGACGGCTGGTGAGTGGTGCTGCTGGGCTGATGCTGTATTTATGCCGCTTGATGTTCTGTGTAGTCAGCAGTTGTGGGTTCAAACATAATTCATCTGAATTCAACTGCCGCATCAATACACACCCTAGATTATAGAGCATAAAATATTGCAGCATTAAATCTATATATTATAAAAATGCACCTGATGGAGGCTCCCGTGGCAGATGCTCTTAACTTCAGTGTGTATTTAGGGGTGTGTGGGAGCCATACTTGTGCACCTTCAGAATCCCATCTGTAACTTAGGGACCCTCTAAAGCCACAACTTCAGGGTTTAGTCTGACTCCAGCTCCAGTTTTCACCTTTTCTGAAAAGACAGAAGAAGAACGTGAGAGCTCTAAATATCAGAGAAAGATCCCAGCTGTGTGTTGGCCACTGCTGATCTCCTTCAGACCTACTTAAGCTAATGTAGAAATGTCCTCCAGAACGACCCCCCTGGAGAATGGGATGATCATTTCCCTCTAATGAAAATCATCAAACTGGACTGTGCATGCCAAGAGGAGCAAAACACAGACATCTTTTCCAACACTTTATGAGAGTGTGACACCTCTATTTACTCAGTTTTACATTACAAAAAATCCACTTCAGTTTTCTGAGCAAGGACACCTTTTATTGCAGTCATTACACTATGTTAATGCTGAGCTGATAATGAAATGGAAGAACCTCCTGTCTCCTCAGATAAGCCTCCCCTTCAATGATTAACTCTATATGTGACATGGTGTGTTTTATTATGGGGGAATTACACTGAAAATGGACTCCACCTTTATTAGTCAGTATGAAGGTTGTGAGTGAATGTCAGTGAATGTTGCACTGACCTTGATTTGTGTAAGTATTGAAACAACGTGTCAACAAGCAAAATTATTTCATCTATTTAGACCAAGCTGTTTGTCCTTCAGAGTCACAGAGACTTTGCAGCCAAGGGAATGTGGACATTAGTCTATCTTTAGGACCGGGATGCACTTTTCTCTGTGTGTGCTTTCCTTATATGAAATTTCCAATAATTGCATTTTGGGCGAAAAGAGAGAAAAAAAAGTGAAATAATTCATTTTATTTGGCATTCACCCTTGAAGGAGAGATCTTGGCATTTATCCCTTAGCAGTGAATCCTCGAGCAAAACCCATGACCTTGACTTCTGTTGCATTTTAGAAAGGCCACGGATGGAACATTCTGCTGTGTTTAAGTGTTTAAGTCTGACCTGCAAAAATACTCTTTAAATATCACACCCTGAAAACAGCTTATTTTGTCAAAGCACATTAAAGAACGTAATAATCCCGATGTCGACGTCAGACTGGACGTTTGCACATTTTTAAATTACACAAGGCCACAGGAAACTATGGCAACTGTTCATCGGCCATGTTTCTTCTGTAATTTGATGCGAAAAAGAAGTATAAGATGTAAAGATGTTTAATCATCAAATCGGCAGTTATAAGTGTTACCAGGTTGTTAAGAAAATAATTTTGATGTGACGCTTCTGTAGAAATGAACCATTAGTGGGTCATTATAACTCATTACACCTGTATAAAGGATGCCTTATTACAAAGTGATAAAAACCACATGGTGGGTGTGAACTTCTTGGAGAGACGCAAATTCAAAACCAACCACTGGTTTGCCCAACACACTGCTGACCGATGATGACTTTATTAACCTGCTGTTGCTGCGTTCAGATCACTACTGGCTCTGGGTGATGCATAGTAGCCGGGGGGGGGGGGGGGGGGGGGGGGAGCAGGAGGTTGCCGAAATCATCGTGGTTTATATAATTCTGTGACACAGTGTGGCGAGGATTTAGATTTGGACGTTGGCGGCGGCAGAGCAGACAGCCTCCATAGCATCTATCATTTCCTGAACGCAAGCGCACATCCAGCCGATGATGTGATGAGCCTTGGCGGCGTAGGGCTGGAAGGTGTGTCGGTCACTGCTGTCGCTCAGCTGCCTCTGCTACTGTCACCCCCTCCTCATTGTGTGTGTGTGTGTGTGTGTGTGTGTGTGGCGGAGGAAGAAGAGGCTGAGAGTGAGAGAGTGAGTAAGAGAGAGAGAGAGAGAGAGAGATAGAGAGAGAGAGAGAGAGATAGAGAGAGGGAGAGAGAGAGAGAGAAGTTTCCACCGCTCTTGGCGCACGGTCGCCGATCGCTCACTTCACACGATGGCACGTCTGTGTCCGTGTGCAGCTCTGTTGCGTCGGGAGCCCCGCTGCTGCTGCTGCTGCTGCTGTCGCTGCTTTCGGGAGAACTGAAAAATCAATTAAGTGTCACCATGGCTGAATTCGGAGAGAAGAAGAGCGTCGTCGGTCCACCGGTTGCTGGCTGGAAAGCTGCGTCAGGAGAAGCCGGAACGAGCCTCGAGACGCACCGAGGAGAGCCGGTCTCCAACGGAAACTGCAGCGTGTCAGACACCGCGAGGAGGGTCCAGAACGAGTCCAGCTGCGAGTCCCCGACGTGGGAGAACACAGGTCCAGATTCAGCATCCAAACCAATCCCTCGACGCAGCAGTCTGATCAAGGTAGGCCATCATTTCCCTCAAGAAAAAACAGCTTATTTCGGTTTAAAACGGAAGGAGGAAGACTTTAACATTTAAAAATGCCTGCAAACTGTTGCACGTCTAGAATAGACCTAAAAAAATCCGTTTATTAAACAAAATATAACATAAACTAGGACATGGTTACTTAAAGAAATACTTGAGTTACACAGCAACACAACAAGCCCCTACAGGAATGTAATGCTGATGCCATGGGAAGAAAAAAAAACACCATAAAATACAATTAAGTCACTATAAAATCACTACTGAGTCATGTATGTCACACACACACACACACACACACACACACACACACACACACACACACACACACACACACACATACACACACACACACACTGGACAGAATCAACCTGTAATCTGACAACAAACTGTGACTCTGCCTCTAATATCAGTCACCTCACCTCACCTCAGCCTGTTGAGGAAATTTATGTTGAGTATGAGCCTGATGATGTCACACTGAAGATTACAGTGAGCGACTGAGCACACAGGACTTCAGATCAGTCTAAATACTTAAATACTCCATCTGGGAGCCTTTCAACCATGTGTGTCACATCAGGCAAGGCTTTTGTTCCTGCCAGACCGCAGCAGGCGATGTCACTTATTAGCACTCCATCAACTAGAGAGGAGGAGGTGGAACTAACAAGTGAAACCACCTGCTGTAGACTTTGATTATAATGAGAAAATGCATTCACTCTGCCCTCTGTGGCTCACAGTTGAATGCCCCTGTCCAATTAACCCCTACACGGGTCTGAGCTTGCATGTGAGCAAATTTCAAGTGCATTTGCATATAGATAGAAAATCACACTTATTCACAATTTCTGTTGATTTGGGAACCAAATGACATTTAAAGGAGTGTGATATCACTAACGTCTATCAATAACTCATCCCCTGACTTTGCCCTTTTTAATGTTTCTGCCTTTAGGCATAAGGGAGGTCTTATATTGATCTCTAGTTGCTGCTTGTCTCCAGAGCTACGGCCTGCAAAGACATGACTATATAAACATGGCTTCATCAGTGTGTGTGTGTGTGTGTGTGTGTGTGTGTGTGTGTGTGTATGACTGGCTCGACATGGCAAGACAGGAAGCAAAGCAGTTGGCCAATTTCCTCGCACAGTTCATGTTGCAATACTGCTATTAAGTCATGAGCAGTTGGTGATGACATGTCACTTTCTCTGTGGCCCCCGCTCTCTCTCTCTCTCTCTCTCTGTCTCTCTCTCACTGCAACACTTACACACAAACATTTCTCACCTCCTTGCCCACACACAGGCCTGCTCTTGCCTTTCTTCTGGTAGTTTCAACAGTGCAGTGAGCCTGACGGCGGGGATTTAAAAACACTCTGTTTTCTTCAAGATCTGGTGTCTGGGTCAGAGTTGGTGATAAATAACTCCTGGCGAGGGTGGCGCCTCATATGCAGTGCCATGTTTGATGTGTGACACTTAATGGCTGCAGAACATCCCCCCTCTCCCTCAGCACTTGCCTTTACTTCAAAGAGTGGTAATGCAGGGCAGCGTTGCGCATGCATCCCATGAACTGAAGCAGAAACTGGCATGCATTGGTGATACGATGATGTCTGTTGTATGTTCAGTGGGCGCATTTATCGCTGAGAACGTTCAGTGATCAACGAACCGAGCAGTGCAGCAGTGCACATGCGTTTGTGCTTTCACCATAAACATGCCTGTGTTTTGAAGCATAAACTCCTGAGGCTTTAGATAGATAGAGCTCAGTCTGTGAGTCAAGGAGTTATAAATCCACCTGTCGACGTAACAGTTTGTTTTGCTGTTTGCTAAACTACCCCCTCGGTTAAAACTCAAGATTCCTCACAATAGGAGTCTGGGTGGTGTGTAGGCAGATAAACAGGAAACATGACATTCCAGACTGATTTTAACAGGAGTCAGGGGATTTATATCCAATGTGTGTGTCTGTATCTGTGAGTCTGTGTGAGTTTGTGTGTGTGTGTGTGTGTGTGTGTTCTGTGTGTTCTGTGTGTGTTTGTGAGTGCGCCCTTTTCACTTTGGCTGAGGTAATGAGAGTACCCTTAATTGTATTTAATCAGTATGTACTTCATGCTGTCCGTTCTCCTCTCATTTATTCTGTCTCGCTCCTGTGTGCGTGAAGGAGTTGCAGAATCAGGTGCCCGCTCAGTTTATGTCAGCTCCAAGTTGATGTAGATAACCATCACTCTCTTTCTCTGTTTCTTGTTTAAAGTACACACACATGCACAGACACAGACACAGACACACACACACACACACACACATACACACACACACACACAAACACAGACACACACTTGTACAGACTTGCCTCCAAGTAAAGTACAGCTAAGCAGACTGAATATCTTCTTTCCAGTTCTCTCATTACTCATGCCAACACAAGACACACATGGTTGGCATGTGTATGTGTGTGCACACTACTTGGATTGCTTGTATTTCTATCACTTCTTTTCTTCTACTGAAGTTAGCATGCTAACCAGCTAGCCCCGGTCCAGCCGGACCGTCACGGCACTTTCCGATAGCGAGCCACTTTAGTGTCCAATCTGCACTGAAGAAGTGGTGCTGCTCCGAGGATGTATTATAACCTCTTGTCTTGTTAACGCAATGGTGGCTGAAGCTCTTGGTGAGTGAACCATCACCACCACCCTCTTCTGGCATTTGCTTTTTGTAGCCCCATACAAATAGCCCCAATAATTCATAGTAAAGCATCATGTAGGGAGAGCCAGGCTAGCTGCCCCCCCCCCCCCCCCCCCCCCGCTTCCAGTCTTCATGCTAAGCTAAGCTAACCATCTCCTGCTACCAGCATTATATTAAACAGACTAATATTAGAGGGGTATCGATCCCCTCATATAAGTCTCAGCAAGAAAATGCATTAGGGTACTTTCCCAAAAGTTGAATGGTCATCATATTTTTAACTGGACAGGAAATCAAAATAGAATATGTTTACACAAGTGTGTTTGAGTGTGTGTGTGTTATATGCATAAATCTTTTGTTTGTGGTTTTGTATCTGTATTACCTCCATCAGTATGCATGTCTAATGAGTGTGTGTGTGAGCGTTTTGGATGTCTTCGTGTGTGTTATTCAGACTGAGGGAGCAGCATTAGCCAGAGGCGTTAGCACACAGCTGGGAATGGTAGATTTTTGAGTCAGAACAGCCCTGAGCACCTCCTGCAGTTCAAATCAACATCTTTAGCTTGCTTTAAACCACATTAGACTGTATAGAAGCACAGCCCTGCACAGCAGAGAGACTGGATAAACCCTCTCAATGACACAGGAAATACTACTCTGGTGATTGAGTCGCTCCGCATATACACTCCACATTCATAATATACATCCAGTCATGCATGTGCAGAGTTGTACAGAGATGTGTGTGCGCCTGTCTGTTAGCCTCACTGTAGTCATCTGTGACGCGTGTGGAAACTCCGCTCGGCACGCTAATCGCTACTTTCATGCTAAGAATTAATGCCCGACTTAAGGCTCCAGCTGCCTGTTCTTGGTTTTAGTGGCCCTCCTGTCTTCAGGAAATGCATCTGTGACGTTTGTCAGCTGAAATTGTGGTTAGCTCTCTGACAAGATGACCTTTTCAAGTCAACCTTTTACTTGTTTCATTTTGTGTGGTGTGTGTGTGTGTATTTGATTGTGTGTGCGTTTCTGCGTGTGACTGCTTGTGCACGTGGGACTTCAAAGGTTTCAAGCGTAAAAGAGCATCTGCTGCTCTTCTTGCCACAAGGGCAGGGGTTTACAGTCAGACTCACCACATTTTTTTGTTGAACATAACTCCCATAGATTGAGCCACTGACACGATGACTTGACCACATAGTGCTTCCTGTGTCCTTTTTAACCGTGTTTATGCACATGTGCAAACTCCACCCAACACAGTGTGTGATCATGACACAGTTTTTGATTAGTAAGTAATTAGGATGATTAAGGCAGCAAATAACAAGTAGTATCATAATCAATTAATAGATTTTACTGATTATTTGTTTAGTATAGAAAATGTCAGAAAATGGTACAAAAACAGAACAGAACAGTGACCTTTACCTTTGACCTTTGACTACCAAATACTAATTAGTTCATCCTAGAGTCCAAGTGAACTTTTGTACCAAATTTGAAGAAATTCCCTCAAGGCGTTCCTGAGATATCGCGTTCACAAGACGAATAGATGGAGGGACAACCTGAAAACATAACGCCTCAGGCCAAGGCTGTCACCAACGTGGACGCATAAAAAGTGCACGAGAGATGACATCTAAAAATATTTGATCTGACCAACTGTGAAAACCCAAAAGGGGTATCATTTTAAATTACATACAGTAAGTACATAAAAAAGAAAGAAGCAGCAAACTGTTGCGAGACTAGCATTAGCAAACATGTGTTGTTGAGCTCCAGGGTGAGAAGGTTTTGTAATAAAACCACACCATGAGTCGTTCATCATCTGCTGTCAAACACACAAGGCCATAGGCCAGACAGCTCAGCCTTCCTGCCAGTTTTCACTCCTTTATTCATTATTCTCTCTCACCTAACAATTTCCTCTCTTTCTCTGATTTTATATCAGTCTTAATTAGTGCATCAATGACCACGCCCACAAATGACCTACATCTTCATCCTGCTGACTCTGAGATGCTTTAATTAGTGATACGGGCTTGTTGCATCCATATAAACGCACACTTGCATACATCATACCATGCATGCATGTAAGTTGGCTAATGAAGGCACAAAGTCATGCTGGTGCCTACAGGCAAATACCAAGTGCACAAGTTCAGTAATCTGCCAAAGAGCTACTTTATTTATTTCTCTCAATCTTTCCTCTAGCTCTCACTCCTTCTTTTTTTTTTTTTTTGCTGTTTTGTTTGTCTATTTCCACTTCTGAAGTTTCAACTTTCTGTAATGTCTCTCTGTCATCTTGCGTTTCCTTCTCTGATAACTGCATCTAATCTCTTCTGTCTGTCTCCTCCATTTCTCTCACCCTCCATCCATCCCCACATCTGTTCATCTGTTCAGTCAGCGTGGAAGTCCTATCAGGAACATCAGTAATTTTGTAGTCACTAAATCATCATCTTTTCTATATTTCCAACAGATGAAAACTGACAGATAATAATTAACTTACAAAAAGAGGTTGGAAAGGTTTTCATGGTAAATGACTTGTTGGGCTCACGAAAAGTTTTCTCTCAACAGTCACATCCACACATACTGTATCACTGTGTCTTTCTTTCTATTTTGTGTTGTCACCTCACTTGGCTCTCGGTGGTGACACAGGAAGCTCTCTATGACGGGCTGACAGGCTGCTTCCTGTTTTCTAGCGCGCTAGTGGTTTTGGAGACTCATCTTTGTCTCTGTGAGAAAAACTAAATGAGGCCTTTTGTGACAGAGACAAACAGTACATCCTGACAGAGATTAAGTATAATGGAATTTGAATTTTATTATTGGATGGAGGCTGGGCTTGTTTTGTTCTGCTATGTGTGTAGCTACTCTAATCTGTCTGGACACTGTGTGCCTTTTTTTCATGAAAAAAATCAATACCTTTACCGTTTGTATTTTATTCAGGTGTTCATCTGCTTGCATTGTGTCCTCTTGTTTTATCTTGTCAGGATAATTTATTCAGAGTCTACATTGACGTCAGCGTTGTTTGGTTATGTGCTGGAGCTCTGTCTCCCTCTCTATCCGTTATTTATGTGGTAGGCTAACAGAGGTGAAAGTGCACGATAGCCTCCACGCATGAGATAATTGAATCTCAACGGCCGAACAGCCCACCTGGAGAACTCAGATATTTCCCCAGCTCCAAAAACAGCTTGTGACAGGCTCACACCCTGTGAGCTTTATTAGTTTTTAAGGGAAGGTATCCATTGCTTCAGTATGACTTCTGTTTATTGCTTGTCTATTAATCAGGGATGACAGAGATGTATGTCACTGGTCATGTTATTATATGTGGACTCGCCTAACTGAATAAGGTGTGTACAGTGACTGGAGCTGATACAGCCACAGAGGGACCATTACCGCTAATGTCACACACAGAGGGGAGAGAGTTATAGATTGAGGCCAACATTAATATCCTGTGCCTTTTGCTACACTGCATGAAAGAAAAAGGAAAGTGTGAATGATAAGGTGGTGCTGCATGCTTCTGTGTCTGTGTCTGTGAGTTAATTCAATGAGCTTTGGCGGGGCGCCTCATTCTGGGAGAATGAGCTTTTAAAAACAAATTGAGTGCTGCCTTCAAAATAAATAATTTTAAAGAGAGAAAGAGAGAGAAGTCTGATTTGATTTTCATATTTCTATCCCTGCCGGTGGGGTGGAGTTGCATCTGAGAGTTAAATTTAGAGGTGTTGCTGAAGCTTTTTAATGAGAACACAAAATCAATTAGTTCATTAACCAGTTAGTGTTTTCTTTTGTTAATAGATTGCCCGCTTCCCAATATCCCCATCTTTCAAATTATCTCAAATTGACTTTCAGTGCTCTGCCTGTGGCTTTCTCTGCCTGCGTTTTTCAGGGTAGGATTGGGGGTCTTAAAGGAAAGACTATCTCTTCCTCATCCCATGTCCACCCCCCCATCCCCCACCCCACTCCCCCTATCATGCCCCAAAGCACTAGGGGTATTTTTAGAGCACCGCCTCCCTCCCTCCCTCACCACACCAGCTCAAAAAAAAAACTTGTTGCCATTGGAAACACTTCCCCATCCTAATGAAGTGATTCTATGAGGATTTGTGATGGTTAGATGCCGCCCCTTCCCTCTGAGGGAAACCTTTTCATCCTCTGTGAATTATGCCTTCTCTCCCTTTCACATGTTCATTCATATTCTTTAGATGAAACACAGCTTTTTTGTTTCTCTTTCTTTTTACTCTCTGTCTTTCATATCCCACAGATTTCTTTCGTATGAAGGCTTCCCCTTCTCTCCCCTCTCATAAAAGATCCAAGTGCTCTTGAGGATCATATGGACTCTTATTTGAGAGTTATGCAGATGAACATAGGTTCATCAGCTACAGATCAGTATTCGCAGATGTTCAGGATAAATATGAAAATATTGATCAGCCTATAGGTCATCAATTAGACTGCCTAAATACTTACATTTTTACATTTTTGACAGATATAAATATGAGCTTTGTGTATTTGTCCTCCTCAGCTTTCCTCCTTTTGATATTTACATGTAATAAGACAGGTGTATGTTGGGTATGTGGGTGTTTGCGTCTTCAATCACTCTGCTTGGGATTTAATCAACTACAATTATGTTATCCCCCTTATCCTGCTTTACATTAGCCTCAATGAAGTCTTTGATTTGATTTTATCGGGACTCTAATATATCCATAATTGAATAACTTCGCCCACTTATATGCACTTATCTATTAGTATAAGGTACTCTGTGGGGGTGACATCTGATTGGTCAATATATCAGATGGATGAGCTATGATGGTGAGCTCAGATAAACAGATTGAGTCTGCCAGTGCTGTTGTTGAGGGGCTGAATCAGAATGCTGCAGCCTGCTGCCTCTGTCTAGGCAGGTATGATTAATGGTGTAATGGTGAAGGACAAGGGCAAGCAAAGGCTTTTAGCATGGTATCAGGAAAACAATAACAGATTGGTAGGAGGAGGCTGTATGTGGTAGACCCAATAATCTCTGGCTATGTATGGTTATATAAGCTGATATGCCCTTTAATCCTTTGAGATCCATTCTGGATGGGAAAAATGTTTGTCATGCTTAAACAAAGAATACATTTCACAGGGATCACTGTCTGTCCATCTCTCTCTCCTTCAACTAATTTTTATTACACCCTCTCCTCCGCTCTTTATTTGTCCCGTCCTTTCATCCTATCCTTCCTTCTCTCCCTCCTCATTAGGATGGGTCACGTGCCGGTCGAGACAGGAAGAAGACGGTGTCCTTCAGCAGCAGCTTGTCAGAGAAGAAGATCAGCAGTGCTGCCGACTGTATCCACTCCATGGTGGGTCAGCTACAGCGTGACCCTTTACATAAAATATAAGCTTTACATACCTGTAGGCGACATGAAATATTGAATGTGAAATACATACATCAAGGGTGTCTGGTATTTTTTAGGCTTGTGAGTGGAAAGAGCTCAATACTGAAAGTCAATGGTTGACAATTTCATCCATATATTGTTTCCAGGTTGAGGGGAGTGAGCTGAAGAAAATTCGGCCCAACTCACGTGTTTACCAGCGATACTACCTGCTGGACGCAGGCCTCCAGGCTCTGTGCTGGGAGCCATCAAAGAAGGAGTCAGACAAAGCCCGGATCTCTCTCGCCTCCATACGAGAGGTCAGTGTCCAGAGGAAAAGCTTTCTAAATCAACCCACAGTGGCTATTGTTTTTATGACTGACCTCACTGATCCTTTTAGAATAAGGTCATTGAAATATTTACAACCTTGAACCATCTGGAAGACAACAGTTCACTTGTTTTTATTGTATCTGACATGGATTTTTTTTGTGGTCTCAAATTCTAGGTACGGACAGGTCGTAACACGGAAACCTTTCGCACCAGTGGAGTTTATGAGCAGATTTCAGAGGACTGTGCATTCTCCATCATCTATGGAGACGTATATGAAAACTTGGACCTGGTGGCCAACTCTGCTGAAGTGGCTAACATTTGGGTGACCGGACTAAGGTGTGACACAACAAAGTGTCATTTTTAAAATCTAATAAAAACACATTAAACAAATAAAGTAAGAGATCCTTTTTTTATCAGCATTGCCCTACAGCAGTAATGTATACTGAGAACAACACAACTAAATAACTAGGTGTACCAGCTTGCTTGTGTATTTTTTGTGGGCACACAATCTGACTGAAATCAAAGTGAGAGTATAATGACAAAGATTTAATTTGTGGTTGAATGAAGGTGTGGCTAAGATAATCTACCCTATGTGGTTTGGCCTTTTATGTCAGACTTAATCTTTGCTGCTTTTTTCCAGTATTGATTGTGTTATGATGAGCACTGAGATCTGGGTGGGCTGATTTCTTTTTTAATAGTCCTTTGAGACCTCTTTGTGATGAGAGGCTACAAGCAAACGTGATCTGTCTTTAAACTGATTCTACTGCTGCAGTAGAAAATAGAGATGAAAAAAGAAATGAGTGTGATGCAGAATTATGCAGTAAGAAAAAACATCCTGCCTTATTGCAGCAACCTTGTCCATTCTTCTCTCATCTCCCTCCAGGTATCTCATGCAGTATGGGAAACATGCCCTGGACATGCTCGCCAGCAGTCAGGACAGTCTTCGTCTTAACTGGCTGGAGCAGCTGTTTTCCTCTGCTGCTGATTCGGACAGACAGGAAGATGTTGAGGAAGGGATCCGCTTGCAGTCCGCCATTAAGTTGATACAGAGCGTGAACCCTGGGGTGAGCGGTGGCAAAGTGGAGCACAGGTTTAAAGAGCTTCAAAGAGTTCGGGAGAAGATGTGTGGGCTAGATAATGGATCTGGAGTCAAAGATCACAATGAACCCAAAAGACTAATGGGAAGAAATGAACGAGTCACCAAGCAGGAGTTCATCGAGGTCTTCCACGACTTTTGCACACGTCCGGAGATCTACTTCCTGTTGGTGCAGTTCTCTAGCAACAAGGAGTTCCTGGACACCAAAGACTTGATGCGGTTCCTTGAGGCCGAGCAGGGCATGGCTCAAGTGGGTAACACAAATCAATCCAATTTAAGTGTACATGGACAAATGCAATCCCAGTGTTCCCTGTCTAAGAGTCTCAATCTAATCTCCTCTCTCTCACCGTGTCTTCTAGGTGAGTGAGGAGACCAGCCTGAAGCTCATCCAGTCCCACGAGCCATCGGAGGAGGGCCGGCAGCAGGGATACCTGTCTTTGGACGGCTTCACCAGCTACCTCACTTCGGCTGAGTGCCACCTCTTCGACTGGGAGCACGACACCGTGTGCCAGGACATGTCCCAGCCTTTGTCCCACTACTACATCAACTCCTCCCACAACACCTACCTCATCGAGGACCAGTTTAGAGGTCCCTCCGACATCTCCGGTTACATCCGCGCCCTCAAGATGGGTTGTCGATGTGTGGAGGTGGACGTTTGGGACGGCCCTGATGAGCAGCCTGTGGTGTGTACAGGGCACACCCTCTCCCCACCACTGGCCCTGCGTTGTGTGATAGAAGCAATTGGAAGGTTTGCATTTGTGGCATCAGAGTATCCCTTAATTATATGTATTGAGAACCACTGTTCACTTCGACAGCAGAAGGTCATGTGGAAACATCTCACAGATATACTAGGGGAGAGGTTATACACAAATCCGCCACATGAAGGGGACTTGTACCTGCCGTCACCCCATGCCCTAAGGCATCGAATCCTATTAAGGGGTAAGAAGTTGGGGCCAGGTTCTGATGGGGAGGATGGGGAGGTAAGTGAGGAGGATGAAGGGGCAGAGATGTGTCAAAGGATGAAAGCAGCTAATAGTGGAGGGGCATTGCCTGGAGGAAGTGAGAAGGACACGTTGCAGAAAAGCTTCACTTTCACAGCTCTCCCTCAGTCTAATAATCCTCCTCAGCTTCCTTTCAAACGGTTCCAACTCTTGAAGGAGCTGTCTGATCTAGTAACTCTTTGCTGCTCAGTGGGCTTCATTGACTTTCCGACATCATCCAAAAACCAAAAACCTTGGGAACTGTGTTCCTTTCATGAATCTCTGGCTGTGCGTCTCGCTGGCGATAGCCCCGGTGACTTTGTCAATCATAACAAGCATTTCCTGTCAAGAGTGTACCCCAACCCAATGCGTATTGACTCAAGCAACATGAACCCTCAGGACCTGTGGAAGTGCGGATGCCAAATCGTGTCTATGAATTTTCAGACGGCGGGACTGATGATGGACCTGAACACAGCTTGGTTCCGGCAGAACGGGAACTGTGGTTACGTTCTGCGTCCAGCCATCATGCGGCAGGAGGTGTCTTATTTCAGTGCCGACACCAGAGACACGGTGCCTGGTGTGTCTCCACAGCTGCTTCATGTGAAGGTGGGGGGAAGGATAATGTATAGACTCTGAGAAATATGTCCCTGCTACGGACAATTTCACCTGAAACTTAAAGACTAATTCCAATTTATTAGAACTTGGGTCTAAACTTGTAGCTTTAGTCATTGTTCTCTTGGATGATGATAACGCCTGAGAAAGTGGCAAAATGGCTAAAAAGAAGTCCAACCATCATACAGGTTTAAACAAAGCACCAGGTTAGCCAGTGAAATCAGATTTCAGTTGTGCTCACATGCAGTTCTAGCTCCAAATTAAGTGGTTTATATCTGGTGGCTCTTACCCTGCTGGACTTCACTGTGGTAATATCACCCAGTTCCTAGTTCTCAATTACAGTATTATCCTAATGGATAAAGACAATGGCCAAAACTCCAAGAAAAGATTGAAGTTTTAACCTAACAGGAATAATCCTCTAAACTCATGATTGTGTTCTAAAAGCCAATGCATCAATAAAAACCGATGATGATCATCCTTCTTGCAGGTGATAAGTGGCCAGAACCTGCCCAGGCCAAGGGGTTCTGAGGCCAAGGGGGACGTGGTAGACCCGTACGTGTATGTGGAGATCCATGGCATCCCAGCTGACTGCACAGAGCGCCGCACCAGGACAGTGATCCAGAACGGGGACAACCCTATCTTCGATGAGAGCTTTGAGTTCCAGATCAACCTGCCTGAGCTCGCCATGGTTCGCTTTGTGGTGCTGGATGATGACTTCATAGGGGATGACTTTATAGGTCAGGGTCAGAGATCTGACGGGTTGCTGTGAATGGACTCAAACACACAATGATTTCAAACACAATGATTTCATAGTTTAAGTTTGACATTTGAAATGCTTTGAAATTAAAAGAGATTTTCCTGCCACCACAGGTCAGTACACCATCTCTTTAGAGTGTCTTCAGCCGGGCTACCGACACGTGCCACTCCAGTCTCTGACTGGGGAGGAACTCCCCCACGCCAAGTTATTCGTCCACGTGGCCCTCACCAATCGTAGAGGCGGGGGAAAGCCTCACAAACGGGGCCTGTCTGTGCGGAAGGCGCGGAAGGGGAGGGACTACACAGCTCTGAGGGACTTGGGAGTCCGGGTTGTGGATGAGGTTTTCAAGATGGCTGCTCCACTGCTGAGAGAAGCCACCGACCTGAGGGAAAACATGCAGGTGAGGAAGAGCGACGAGGGTGGGAATGTGACTTTGGCTGAATATTCTTATACTGGACACTTTCTCATAGCACAGAACAATGAGATTTAATAGGAACCATGTTTAATGAAAAACACGGTGTTGATAATCACGATGATTCTGTTTTAATACTCAAAACAAAGGGAATTTAAAAAATACATAAAGATATTGTGTTGAAATAACTACACAATTTTAGCTTCACCAACAAACATTCAGACTTTGCTGCTTTTATGTATTTTATGTCATTATACATTAAATATTTTTGGCTTTTGAACTGTTGATTTGACAAAACAAGCATTTTAACTTTGTTTCATTGGACTGTAGGAAAGTTGATTGGTACTTTTTACAATATTTTACACTACAAATTAAGTGATTCATGAATGAATAATGGAAAATAATTGTTTGCTGCAGCCCTAAATTGTTGCTTTATTCATTTTCAATATTGCGTGAATGGTGAATCTCATTTCTGCTGATCATTTCCTATCGGGTGGATTAATATATTACTTTACTGTGTTGATTGTGTCAGGGATCTGAAGAGATAAAAATGGAAGCCTGTCACTAGCACTGACAAATATCTCCACTTCACCTAACCGTCCTGAGCCAGACAGCAATTTGGTGTGCGGGTGCTTGTGTCACCCTGTGGAAATAAAACAGTAATTACAGTATATGTTATATGTCAGTGTGGTGAGATTGTTGGCATCCACATGCTTTAGTTTTCTTTCATTTCAGTCCAAACTACTACAACAGCACAACTGCAGGAGAGCAGGTCAGCAGTTGAAAGAAAAGACAAATCGCTCTGCTGCAGGAGTTGCTTTTGATTAGCTGTGTGTATGTGTGTGTTTGTGTGTGTGTGTGTGTGTGTATGTATGTGTGTGTGTGTGTGTGTGTGTGTGTGTGTGTGTGAGAGAGAGAGAGACAGAGAGAGAATGAAAGCAAATGAAGCTGGAGACAGAATGGGGAAGAGATTTTACACATTTTTTGATGATTTGGTATTGCTATCATCAGGGCCAGGGAATAAGAAAGAGAAAGAAGGGGAATGATGTGTTCATCTTTATATTTTTACTTTTTTTTTTTTTTTTTTTCCAACAGAACTCTGTAGCACTGTTCAGGGAGCTGTGTGGGATGTCGGCTGTGGCTAACCTCATGCAGTGCGTACTGGCTCTGGGCTCCAGAGTGTCAGCACCAGACGGGACGCCTTTGCTACTGTTTGACCTCCGGGACCACTACCCCTCTCTGGAGCCCCAGGGGCCCCTGCCCGATGTCCTTCGCCGGGTCGTCTCCACCTATGACATGGTGAGGAGGGAAGAGAGTAAACAGTTAATATGCTTCATGTTTTTGCGAGTTTACATAACTGAAATTCATCAAAAGGAAGGAAAGACCAAACAAAAGCTAGCAAAAAAGATCACGAATCAGTCGGCCACCTCCCATCTCCTGTGTACTTGACCTAACAATGAAACCCCCCCCCCAGACAAAAGTTTCCTTTTTAGCCGATACATTCTCAAACACAAAGTGAGCTCTCATTGTTATGTAGCAGACAACATCCCCCGGCCTTAGCAAGGCTCGTAAACACATCAGCGACATCCTCACCTTGGCCTGAATCCACCGTGTGTTTCCACCCAAACAAACCGTGGACTTTCATTGAACGAGGAGAATTTATTATTTAACAGACTTAATTTATGTAATGAATTCTAAAAATGAATCTAGCCCCAGAGAAAAACTCCCCCATGGAAGTAAACACAAAGAGAGAACGAGGGCGAGAGTAGGGTCAATTGGTCTGTTAGTTAACTCATCAGCCAGTCAATAAAGTGGGATGAATCAGTGGGTTTGAATGGGTTTAGGTTGCTCAGGCATCCTGCACTCATGCAATGTCAGTTTTTTTTTTTTCTGTTTTCTTTTTCATATCTCACTTTCAACACATTTCCCTTTGGTCTCTTTGGCCTCCTCCTCATTCCTTATTTCACTCATTCATCTCTCCCAGTTCCCACCTCTTCATCTTGTCTCCCTCTGGGCCTTGTTGGATTGTGGCTGCCCAATATATGTGGTTTGCATACAGCTGTGGTCCTGCACTCTTCTGAGTTGCTATGTTGCTGTGGTAAACGACATTACACCCCGTTGTTCGCCATCTGTCTGGCTGCTGCAATACTTTTTAAATTGATATTTGCTCAAAGTGCACCTCTTCATCTTTCATATTAGATATTCCTCTGGAGTCTCTTGGGTAGGATGATGGACAGTAAGTATGAATTGCCAATTTAGCAAATCCTGAGTGTATGTTGCATTGTGGGTGAGGAAGGGAGACACTCAGGTTTGTAGCTAGAAACTGGCTGTAGTGGAGATAAATGGATCTGTTTCTGGTCTTATTAAGTTATGATCAAGGTTTCGGTGTATAAACCATGACACTTTAAGTACGGTTGTTTGTCACTGCTGTGCAACTAGCAACTGCACAGACCTGCGACCGTATGTTTATGCATTAGTGTGTGAGTAAGAATGTGTGTGGCTGAACAGCTTTTTTCTTCCCCCACAGCAGGGTCATGTCCCAGTAGGGTGTGTGTGTGTGTTTGTGTGTGTGTGTGTGTGTGTGTGTGTGCATGTGTGTGTGTGTGGTCATTACTTTAAAGGAGCTGTCACATTAGTCTCTGTGGGTGCCTTCACTTACACGTGTGTGTGTGTGTGTGTGTGTGTGTATGTATATGCTTTTTATGGTGATACTGCTTAAAGTGCGAACCCCATTGGCTATTTCCATAATTTTAAGAACCACCAACGTATGGAAACCTACCCGTGTGATTTATTCCAATGTTCTCACTATTAATTTGTGTTCTTTCACAGCAGATAATAAAACAGACTGTTTGTGCTTAACAGTGGGATTCATGCACAAAAAAAACAAGATGTTAAAATGAGTTAAGTTCATGGTCCTAATAGATATTTCACTGTCTGCAGATGGTCCAGGCGAGTAGAGCAGTGATGGAGCTCTCCGATGGAATCTACAACAGGATCCTGCATATACAGACCACGGGTGTGTAGGCGCGCGCGTGTGTGTGTGTGATGGTGTACTTGTGTCAGTGTGTATAAGAGATGTTGCTGTGTAGAGCAGTTGTTGTGATGTGTGTGTGTGTGTGTGTGTGTGTGTGTGTGTGTGTGTGTGTGTGTGTGTGTGTGTGTGTGATGAGTAGAAACCAGGCTGTGCCTATATTCCTAGTCCACTCGTGACAACTCCCACACAGCCCCTTCAGCAGTGCTGTCATCCACATCCACACTGCAGTGTCTGCTTTTATCATTAACTTAAATTCCTTTCCTTTCCTCTCCCATGTTCTCTCCTCTCCTCTCCTCTCCTCTCCTCTCCTCTCCTCTCCTCTCCCACCGTATTTTTTCCTGTCCCATCTTCTGCAAACATCAGCCTAATTGACAGTGTTGCACAAGGTTAGATGAGTCTTTTTACTGGCCTGGTTTATCAGTATGTTTTGGATGGAGGAGGTTTAAATTGGCACAGGTCCCGTTGTTGATCACCCTTCAGTCGCTTAAGCAAAGGGCACCATATCTGATATCATTTCCCTGATCTTTGGCAGAGGTTTGTTTACTTCCGCCTGGTCCCTTGGGTGCTCAGACATTAGTCAGCCAGACTTTCGTCATCATGGCAATAAACAACCCCACAAACGCACTAGTACACAAACATTACCCACATTGCACTCAGTCTCCAGCTGTCACCCAGGAGATTGACATTTAAGGCGTTAAACAGTGGTTTGGTGCAAAAAATAATCACATCCACTCATGTGGTTCTCTAGGTGCTGGATTTTAAAAAGCTGAAGTTACAGATGTCATATGTTTTCAAAAAAAACAACTCTTAGTGCATGTATTTAAGCATCTCTGTGTTTCATGTTTTCAGTTTGTGGGTTGAAATGTGCACAAACTCGTCAGTTTTTCAATACCACCCTTGAGAGAGATAAACCTGACGTGAATAGATATTGCGAGACGAAGATGATGGTTCAGTTGTGGGCCATTGTGGAGAAAGAGAGTGTTTGACGGAAATGAACATTGTTTACAGATTCGCAGACTGCCCCCAGATAACTCATTCCATCCTCCACTGAACTTTATTTTAGGTTTTCAGGGGCCACAGCTTCACTCGCTGATCAAATAATCTGTGACATTATCATCCGCTCTGTAGCTGAGGCTGCAGCGCTGGCCAGCTGCTGCTGAGACACCGTGTTACCATCTTATACTCTAACGTAGATTTTTTATTTCACGTGTGATCACATGTAGTATTATTAGTACACAGAGTGAGATTTGAAAGTGTTCAGCTGTTTTGTGCTGGTGTCCTGATGACAGTACTTTCATCTGATAAAGAGCTGCTGCAGAGCCCGAGGCCTGCCCTCATGAACAAAGCTCCTCCTGTCAGAGAGGAGTAAAGATGGTGATCAGGTGATCCCAACGTGGAGGTCCACCTCTCAGTCTGGGAAGAGGGGGTGGGCAGCGAGGGAAGCTTTAACAGGTCACTGGGTGCGAGCCTTGGCATGGGACGGCTGGTGGCAGAGATGGATGTCTGGAAGTAACATCAGAGCAGAGAGATGAAACGGAGAGGGAGAAGAAAGCCGTGGGAAGATGAATGGCAGAGATGGATAGTTAGAGGCAATGCTGAGAGGAAGACAAGAGCACCAAGGGAGAAGAGAGAGTGAATCCACTTCAGTGTCATGATGTGCTGGTGTGTTAAAGGGCTGGTTCTTCTAAGTTACAAAAACACTTATGTTCTCACTTGTAGTGGTATATAACCCTTGTAACCACTCCCAATAGTGATGTCACGGCGTACTGCCGCACCCTGGAGTACACATTCACATCACTGCAGTGAGGTGAGAGGTTGAACCACTAGAGGTCAGAAATTTCTGAACAGAAAGGTTGCTGTTGAATGTTTCAGTGCTGTGATCCATTCATCTCACTTTAGAGACATATTTTGAAACTAATACTATCTGAACAGCCTTGTGACCACTAGGGATGAAGAAATAGAACCTCACTAATACTGGATTTTTGAGGGAGATATTGATGTTGATATTTCAGAGTTTAAAAAATTGATTGAAATACACAGAGCAATATTCAATAGACATAACATTCAAACATTTTTGATACTTAGAATTGGATGAATTGTAATTACCATATGTACTCAAAGGGACATTTTTTAGTTCAAAAGTTAATATAATGAAAAACCTGTTTAACTGAGTAGAAAAAAATAACATGGATGCAGATGCTTTCATACATGCAGGCTACAATGGCTCATTGGATTAGATTGGATGAGTAAGAAAATTATGTGAATCATATGCTTTTGGCCTTCACACCCATGTGTTAGACAGCGCTCTCTACCAGTATCATCAAAATGGTGATATCTTCTGGAAGAATGTCATTTGTCCATTTCTTCCAGTATGTTTTTCCTTTTTCTTTATTAAATTATAATTTGGGTGAACTGACCCTTTAAGAACCTCCGTTGAGCAGCTGCTTTTCCTCCAGGGCCCTGACCTCTAGAGCGGTGAGACTCACATCTGGAGGTATAGATTCTATACTTCATGAGATACTTGTAGCCTGTTTGCTTAGTACAGAGCAGTGACATCAGACTGGAAGTCAGATCTGTCAGTTTTCTCTTTCCCATCGCTACTGCTCACAGTTCAGATAGAGGACAGGAAGTGAGGGTGATGTACTTCCTGCTACATCCTGATTTCCCGGTCCTGGAGGTTATTTTGGCCCCTGGGTCAGGACCCTGTTTATGTGTGTGTTTGTCTGTGCATGCACACTGTCCCAGTATTGGCTTGGAAATAATGTTCCCTCCATTGGCTTCGCTTGGTTTCATGGGGAAATAGACTCTTGCGCGCGCGCGCACACACACACACACACACACACACTACATTGGCACGTAGGCTTCGAGTTGCCTAGCAACATCACGGTAAAGGTTATTATACAGCCAACTTCTGTAGGTGAATGTGAATGTGGAGATGTGACCACATATGTGTGTCCAGGTGTGTATCCATGTTTGCAGACGTTTAGTGACAGAAAGGTATCATATGTGAAGAACTGCTAAATTATACTAGCATCTAATCTGTTTACTCTTTCCTGTGTGTGTGTGGTGTGTGTGTGTGTGTGTGTGTGTGTGTGTGTGTGTGTGTGTGTGTGTGTGTGTGTGTGTGTGTGAGGTCCACAACTTGGCATGTTTAATGGCTGGGCTCTTGTTGATGTGTGCCCCATGTTAACCCACTTCCGGGTTTCCATGGTAACAGTGGGACAGTGGCCCGGGGCGGCCAGAGGGAGCCAGACATACAACACAACTCATTGCACACACTAACTAGCCGGCGGGCTGACTTCGATGACGCTGTCTCTCTTGCTCTCTCTGTATCTTTCTGTCTCTCAGATTTTCTGTCCACTTTACATCATTCCTTTGAATTTTTCATTGCGCTTTCTTTATTTTTCATCTCTCTCTGTGACAATGGTATAATGCTATCACTTTTTTATGAGTTTCTATACTGTGACTTTTTATGCCTTATTATACTATGACGTTTTATGACATTTTATGCCTTAGTATACTGTGACGTTTTTTGATGTTTTTATGCCTTACTATACTATGACTTTTTATGCCTTACTATACTTTGACATATTTATGACTTTTAATGCCTTTCTATACTATGACATTTTATGATGTTTTATGCCTTAGGTTTTTGAGGTTTTTATGCCATACCATAATATGGTGTTTTTAGGACTTTTTATGCCTTACTATACTATGAGTTTTTATGCCTTAGTATACTATGACATTTTTATGACTTTTTATGCCTTTCTATACTATGATGTTTTATGATATTTTATGCCTTAGTATACTGTGAAGTTTTTTGATGTTTTTATGCCTTACTATACTATGGCATTTTTATGACTTTTTATGCCTTACTATACTATGACCTTTTATGCCTTACTATACTATGACCTTTTATGCCTTACTATACTATGACCTTTTATGCCTTACTATACTATGACCTTTTATGCCTTACTATACTATGACCTTTTATGCCTTACTATACTATGACCTTTTATGCCTTACTATACTATGACCTTTTATGCCTTACTATACTATGACCTTTTATGCCTTACTATACTATGACCTTTTATGCCTTACTATACTATGACCTTTTATGCCTTACTATACTATGACCTTTTATGCCTTACTATACTATGACCTTTTATGCCTTACTATACTATGACCTTTTATGCCTTACTATACTATGACCTTTTATGCCTTACTATACTATGACCTTTTATGCCTTACTATACTATGACCTTTTATGCCTTACTATACTATGACCTTTTATGCCTTACTATACTATGACCTTTTATGCCTTACTATACTATGACCTTTTATGCCTTACTATACTATGACCTTTTATGCCTTACTATACTATGACCTTTTATGCCTTACTATACTATGACCTTTTATGCCTTACTATACTATGACCTTTTATGCCTTACTATACTATGACCTTTTATGCCTTACTATACTATGACCTTTTATGCCTTACTATACTATGACCTTTTATGCCTTACTATACTATGACCTTTTATGCCTTACTATACTATGACCTTTTATGCCTTACTATACTATGACCTTTTATGCCTTACTATACTATGACCTTTTATGCCTTACTATACTATGACCTTTTATGCCTTACTATACTATGACCTTTTATGCCTTACTATACTATGACCTTTTATGCCTTACTATACTATGACCTTTTATGCCTTACTATACTATGACCTTTTATGCCTTACTATACTATGACCTTTTATGCCTTACTATACTATGACCTTTTATGCCTTACTATACTATGACCTTTTATGCCTTACTATACTATGACCTTTTATGCCTTACTATACTATGACCTTTTATGCCTTACTATACTATGACCTTTTATGCCTTACTATACTATGACCTTTTATGCCTTACTATACTATGACCTTTTATGCCTTACTATACTATGACCTTTTATGCCTTACTATACT